AAAAAAAAAAAAAAAATATATATATATATATACATATACGAAGAACGCAAGTACATATATACACACTGATCCAGGTGAAAACTTACTCAAAAGAAAGCTAAGGACTGCCTTTGATGCTCAAAACATGCCCAGAAAGCAGGAGAAATCTACTTGTGCTGAACTCGCGATTTTTTGGCAATTATGTTACCTTCTCAGTGATGAGCAAAAAATTTTTCCGGACAGATTCTACCTGATCGCTGTGCGAAAACGCAACAAAAATACGGTACCAGCATCTTCCATTACACTCCACAACACAATTATACGCATTCAGACAACTACTATATCAATATATATGGATTAAGAAGCACAGAGAAATTCCACAAAAAGAAAAAAAATACAAGTCAACTAAAAACATCGCTTACCATCCCGGATCACTGATATTTCCCAACAGCACTCGTCGCATCAAATTTGACAATCTACGATAGTTTTCTGGTACATCAACTAACTGAGCAGTATCCGCTGGTACGTTTTTCGGCTTATCACAAAACAGTGTTGCTGCTGAAGCGAGTATGAATCCCGAACCACCGTATGCAGTTGCTAGTGCAATCATGCATGAAGCCGCTTTTGATGACACTTCTGCACTGCCTGAAATCCAGCTGCTTGGAGGAATTCTGTTTTCTGCAGAACAGTAACGTAGAATGAAGTGCGATGCGAACACCGAGATGCATAAATGACCTCCTGAATTAACCGCATTTTCGGAAACTGAAAGATGAAGCAGCAAATCTGTAGCGCCCCATATTATTTTAGAAACTTCTATACGAACCTTCCATACGAAGCTGATAAAGCATGCTGTGCAAGCTCTCAATTGATGCATGCGACTCATTAGCTAGCGCATCGGCTGGAAGATGCTCGATGAGGCGAAGCAGCGAAGTAAGCGCCTCGGCACACAGCTCCGAATCACGCCTATTCAATTCACGCAGAATCGAGAACATGCATTTAAGTCCCATCAGCACTACTTCATTTCCACTTTTCCCAGCCTGAAAATAATCATTAAAATTCTGAATTTTCCGTTTCTTAAGATGTATCTCCCGATATTTTCATACTGAAAAACGTATATGCTCAACCAAAAGGGATCTGAAGGGTTCATTAACCAACGACCAAATCCGCAAAAAAATTGGCCAAAATTTAGTCATGAGCTTTGGTCCAGAAACTGAATTGACACCTCATTATCGGTCACCAGTAATAAATAGACTTTTTACTGTAATGCAATAATTAAAACAGTGTAATGTGAATCTAATTTTTCCACAAACTTTCAACTAACTAAATTCCGGGACATGCGAGTACTTCGCAGGCTCAAACAATCTTAGCACGATAGTTAAATCAAGCCGCAGAAGAGGAAGATATCGAATTTATTACTTGTGAACTGAAATACATGTTGTTTCGCTTCTGCATTAAATGCCGAAAAGTTTCTGATAAGTACTGAGCAGAAATGCATTTTCATGATAATTTATAGGATTATGGCTGCACAGCTCATTTAAAAGATGAACGGACACTTGCGCTTCCTTAGTCTGTTATGTACCCAATAGGCACGAAAATTTCCCACATAGAAGGGGAAAAACGCACACTTCTGAATCAACAGATAAAAAATTTAGTCAGATGATCAGCGATTTACTCTGGTTTCCAAATGTGTTAAGCGAAGAACTAATCTGAAACAAAGTAGCACTATAAAAGTTGAAATATGGGCAAATGAAGCGAGAACAGGGCACGCTGTCATTTGGGTCAAGGAAAATTATTGCAATCAAAAGATGCTACTTTTATTGTATGTTCCGAATCTGCAAAACTGAATCCCAATGTTTGTCAAAGGCTGAATTCGCAACTGTCAAAAGCCAAAAATGCATACGTTAAGTTTTTCCATTTTTCCATTGTTTTGTTCCGCTTCCAGAACAGGTCGGAGGTCACATTTATTTTCGACATACATCGACAAAGTTGCTTTTAGCAGTGGCGCATACCTGGAATTTTCCTCGGAAGTTTTTTTTTTCTTCTCAAAGATTTTCCCCGTAACTCTGATTGTACTCGCTGTGAAGCATTGCAAGTGTATTTTGCGAAAACCGTTCTGAACCACAGCGTTACAATGTTCAAGTGCTTTTCTGTGTTTTACAAATTTTCATTAAGAAATGAAAGGATACCTCAAAACAATGGCTCTAGCAAATGCGACAACTCCAAACGATGAGGGAGCAGCAAGAACCTGCAAGCAAGAAGATAGTTCCACAGAAGCTGTCTCAAAATCATGACCCACTCCTTCCGTTTCCTCACCAACCAACATCACCCGGTGATGATCCGCTTCCGGATCGTCTGCAACAGCTGAAGCAATGCATATTTTACTATTATTACAACTCGTTCAGTCATGTGAGTTACAGCAATTTCAATCCCTCCATTAATCATTATCGAAAAACACGTGATCGATTCTGACTGTCAAGCAAACAGCTCCGCTCGAAAAGGCATGCGCAATAAAAATTAATGCTCTTGACTAAACTGCTACTCCCAGCCAAAGCAGTATCTATGCCAGAGTGATGAAGCTTGACCAGATTTCAATATTTTTAGTGGAAGCGCAGTACTTATTTGAGACTAAAAAATGACGTTTCTCATCGTCACTTTTTTGTCCCTAGCTCTGAATTCTTCAAGTCCAAGTTTTTCCAGGATTTTTTATTCACTACTGAACTAATTATGACAGAGTGTGCAAGCCTTTCTCTCCCTACCCCTCCTTTTAAAAGTCTGTTCTCCCAAAACCCCTACACTTGACAAGCTTACGAATTATCAGTAATAAAATTTTTGTTTTTATGCGTTTTTTGCAGCTATGCAATGCAGAAAACGCTTATTGACGAGAGGTTGTCTCTCTGTGTGTGTCTGTATGTGCGTGTGTGTGTGTGTGTGTGTGTG